GATTTGAAAAGGGCAAGGGTGGAATATCGTTGAAAACAACAAATTGAACAAGCATGGTGGTGCCAGCCCTCATTTCCAACATTTTACTGCACCTGAGCGCTCACATATTGTGCTGCCACAAGGAAAATACACACTAAACTATAGATTTTCTCAATAATTGAAACTACCCATTGTTACATGTTGTTCCTATTACACTTCAAGGCTTGTGTGGCATGTTCACAGGAAGAAAACGAGGCCCACGATCTTTGCCAGAAGGTTTTACCCAGAGGATGTATGTGCCCATCAGTCTTGATAGTCAATGGTGACTTTCAGCTTTTGAACTTCCATGATTCGCTAATAGACTGGTAAGACAAAGCGTTGGTTCATATTTCGTGCTGACACACACTTGAAATCGCAAGTCTACTTATTTGCTGCTTGGATCGGACGCACTGCAACTGTACTGGTTGTCCAGGTGAGCAACACCAGAGATGCATTTGCCAAAATATGATGTTGCGAATAGAGAACAAAAGTGATTGATAGGGCGATCACCTCATCCCCTTTTTTAGGCCAGTCCCAATCTTCGATGTGTATTCGGCAATAGGCAATCTGCGCACCTCTAGTCCCTCTGCTTCCTGGCAGCATGACACACACATCAACGAGGTAGAGCGCCAATTGTGTCCCAATGCTTGGCCCAAGGGAGGGGCTCAAGTGGGCATAGAGAATAGGGGAATGCCTGGTGCAAGGGGCCAAATCCTGCCTTCGCCACCTTCCAAAAACAGTCTGCTGTTCCGAATTCGGGGGCCAGTGTGGGTTGAGGTTAGTGAAATTGTCTCCATATAGCCATGTTTGTTTGACAAGACAATAAGAGGTCATCATCATCATGATGACTTTTCGTTTGATTGGCCAAAATGTTACATGAATTATCTGTTCAGCCTGTTCGGTGCCTGTTGACTCATAGTCACCAGCGCTTCCTGGATTGAATTTAGGGGATGTTGGCTGTAGAGCTATGGGCAATGGTCTGTTGTAGGGCCATCCTTCCTTCTTTGCAATATCAGGGGATCAGGTGCTCTGGGTCAAAAGGCTGTCTTCAGCTTAATCCAGGAACTGATTTGATAGAATGCAAGGACAGGCCATGTACAAACTAAGGCTGGATAATTGCATGAATTTGCAGATGTATGCAACCTGTGACATAACCACATGACTTGAGAGACAATGGTATTCGGTGACTGCGCAGTGAGGGGCTGACCAATGTCACTTTGAACAGGAGGACTCTAGCAGCACATTGTGGTCCAAACCCTGAAAGACCCAAGAGAACTCCGCCATCAAAATTGTATAAATGCAAGGGTTGTATGGCATGAAAACTGCCGCACCGCATAGTTCCGAGTGATGTTCTTCCGGACTGTTCTGTCCACCAGGCCGCCAATCAAATACACCTTGTCGGGTTGCAAGGTCAGCAGGGGTTCAGAAGCATCTGGCGAGAGCACCACGATCTGCCCACAGACACCAGATGACCCGTGACCACAACAGCAGCATGGGCACAGTAGAATGCATAAACGAATTGCAGAGGGTGCCAAAAGGCAGATGGGAAATCACCGTTAGGAACATCCTTGCAACGTTTGAAATGGGAGGCCAACTGCCAGTGCCAGGTATCTCATGGCACCAGCCAGCTAGGAGCCAAGTGGGCTAACTTGCAATGATAACCCACCATCACCCCCGATGACAATTTTAGCAGGACAAGCATAATGACACAGCTGGCTTCTGGATCTCTAGGGTGCTAGGCAGCGATCGGTTGATTTGATTTTTGAGGGAGCCAGCCAATCAACGAATTGCTTCAGTGAAAGAGGCCATGCATGGGGAGGGCACCGCCAACATCCGTTGTTCATACACTACTGTAGATATCTGCATCATTATTCTCATTTCGTGTTGGCCATCCTGGCAAAACTCTCACCCAGATGTGGCATCCATTGTGCAACAGTTTACGTCCATGAGGTACAGTTCTGCAACACAGCCAATGCACAAACTCCTCCAGACATATGCCTGATTGGCGATTGCCAGCTGTGACAGTTTGGAAATGATAATTTGACAGCTCATTGTCAATAGGAGTGTCTTGTGCGAAAGAGCATATGGGTGTCTTCTAAACGTGGATGCCATCTGGTGAATTGCATTTGCAGACAAGGTGTGATATTACTTGTCAAACTCTGGTCTGGGCTCATTTCTGCCTAAAAGTGTAAACTGCCTCAGAAAACTGTATCCTTGTGTATTCAGCTATGTTTAGAACCCAGCCAAATTCAGCCTGTGGCAATCTGGGGTCCTGTATTTTGCTGGCAAGACTGCAGGATGTTTCTTCTTGCGGCAAGAAATGCATCAAGTTTGCAACAGGCTACTGGCAACTTTTTTCCCCATGTTCACCTGCGTGGCAGTACCTTGCTCCTGTCATACACATCGAGGGCAGACTCCTCGAAGCGGTTCACTGGCCAACTTTCTGCACCCGCCTTTGCAGCATGCTCCCGCAAGGCCCCCTTGAAGCTCATGAAGGTCAATGCCAAAGGCCTGTCTGCCTTTCGGTTGACACTCATACTGCGCTCCAGCTGCTTGGTCAAACTCCGCATCTGGGTGTGCAGCAACAATGGCCTAATCAGGGTGCATATCAGCCTGTATGCATTCAGGGCCAGCTGAATCAAGGAGCACTTTTGCAATGAAACTCGATTGGGGCACTTTGATCCCTAGGTGCATGAACAATTTGAGGGGGCACTGCAGGTGTGCAAAATGCCCCTCGTCCTCACACAGTGCCCAGTTGTCCTTTAACCATGCGTGTATTGCTCCTCTGACTCCCTGAAAACACAACTGTCACACAAGCTATAGCAATTCTCTTGTACCAAACAGTGTGATTAAAGGCTCCCAATACTGGCCACCACAGCAATCATACCTGTCCAAAGATCAGTTTTCACTCCAGAGAACCAGGATCAAAAAAAAAGTGCACATGTCCACCAGCAAGCAACAGGGCAATATAGCCAAGTAGGTACTGCAGAAGCCGCCATTGTGGTCCCGCCCCCCACCCGTTTGCACATTTTAAGTCCATGTTCGAATGTTCTTGCTTTGAAAATAATGTGAATCCAAAATGCAACTTCCCTGCGTAAATGGTTCAAATCGCACAGCAATAGAGAAACAGCACTGATGTTGGAATTCTCAGCTGCAGTTTCGGTGCTACTTTCATGCAAGCCAGCAGTCCACCACAGACAAAACACTGAGTGCAGCAGATGCAGGCAATGCCAATCACCTCTTTTCCGGATGGATTCTGTGCAAAGCCACAGTCCACAACGACCCGTACACCAGACTTGAGGGCCTCGTCTACGAGTCGGGACTGCTCCACCCTTGTTGCCTCCTTCCTTGACCATTCTTCCTCTTTCAGCCTCTGACGCTCCTCAGCGGGCAGCCCGCTCAACGCCGCTTCCTTGTCCAACCTGGATTCATTTGGTCAACAGACAAATTAACTGTTTAATATTCCAGTCAGCCGATGCTTCAGCAGTGGAGTTCTCATGCTTGTGTTCAGAGCCCAGAAGGAAAGCAGTTGATCAAACTGATAAGTTAGGCTTGATGGGAACTCTTCGTTCTGTTACCTTAAAGCAACACACCCTGACATGAATTCTGAGCAAGAAAGACCATGAACGGTCCAGGATCAAATTATGTAGAGAAAGCTGTTGATCTATAAAGAGTTTCAATGAAATGCACAAGGCATTTACCAAAATCTACATTATGAGAAATAAACAATGACTCAAAAATCAACGAGCTTCACTTTCACTTTGAAGAGACAGGGGCAGTGCTATGTCAAATGGCGGCTAAGGTGTTCGATGCTGATTTCCTTATTTGGCATCTTTGCTTCTGCACTTATTGAAAGTTTGTCGGTATTTTTTCACAACTATTGCAGGTACTCACAGCCAACACCGCCATCATAATCTTTGGAACTTATGGGTAATTGTTCATCCTGTGTTGGGTTCGCATGATCATGATGCAACTCTTGCCCACAGGACTTGGTACTTCATGCACTATGCTTGTCACTTGGCCACAAGCTTAATCTTCCACTCATCAGCTACGTCAATAAACTCAGTGCTTGCCACATCACGCTTGTCATTCCTCAACAGGGTCTACTGCCAATGACTCAGATAGACTGACTGTGAAAAATCAGTGACTTGGAACAAAAGATGATTTGTGTCGTGATTCTTGCTTGACAACGCTGTTTGTAAAGAAAGCCAGAAGAACTCAGGTCTATTGCTATATGTTGACAGTGCTGAAATACAGCGCACTGGGCCTCTTCTGCGGTGGCTGGGGCACACATTGACCATGAGCAATAACATTCAGAACGGCTTTGTCTCAATGCAGCAGCGTGTGGTGTGACCATTGCATTTGGCCGTACTGCCTGCAGGGATACATCCATACCAAGCCTTTCGCTTCCGCTCCTTCAGGTTTGCCTTGTATTTGTCACCCTTCTTCTTGTTCCGCAATTTCCGCCTCTCATCCCAGTATCCTTCCTCTCGGCGTCTCTTTCTAGCCTGGTTTGGTGAAAATCCATCAGTGAGTCGATCCATTAATCGTTGATGTTCGCTGAGTTACGTTTCAATGTCTGCTGCATATTTATTTTTTACATTGGTGGTAATGTGCTTGAATGCACAGGACGTTGTCCCTTTCAGAAGGAAGCAATTTGTGGTGGTTGAAAGTGAAAGATGATTGTGCACAACATATTGCTGAGTATAGTGCCAGTGTGTTGTGCTTTGTCAAGGACTGATTTTCTTTGCACAACAAGAAGTGCAACAGAAAATAATTGCAGGCAAGCCTTCGACACTAGGAACCATCCACAGGATGTTTCTGCACTTTCCACCGCCTGCAAAGCACAAAGGTTCTGTTTGTTGCATCTCTGACAATTGCAATCCATGGCCTACTGCAGCGGACACTGCACTCACTTCAACTTAAAAGAGTAGGCGGTGCTAGAAACAAAAAGTGTTGCAGAACTTGCACAGTGGACATCGAACTCAAACATCTCAACCACAAGTGCAAAACGAGAACTCCTTCCCCCCTTACTGCCCCCCTCTATCTAAGGATGCCATCTCTGGCTGATCCCGGCAGCAATGCCTGCAAAAGTCAACATTCTGTCCCCTACTTCCGCCTACGCTGCCAAATCTGCCTCCAACCTCGCCAGACAACCGCTCTGTCCCCAACCCACTGTGGTGCATCACATCACCTTCGTCAATTCCCAAAAGCGTCCCAGCACCCCCCTTCGCCCCCCCACCGCACCCCCACCCCACACACGCACACCAGACCCGTCGCCCCTCAGTCACACCTTTTGCAAATCCTCCATCGGACAGCCTTCCACGACTCCGCCAGCCTCCTCCCCGTTGCCGGCCTCATCACTCACCCCGCTCGAACCATCCCCCTCTCGCCTCTCCCCACCTCCATCTTCAGCCCACAATCTGTGATCATCCACCGATACAGAAATCTGCCCCGGGTGGCTGAGAGGCGATCCTCCCGTTTGATCCGATTCCAGGGATGATTTGCGCAGCGACCGAAAGGGCCCGGCCGACCGATTACCCGCGCTCACCGGCGGGACCGACATGCGGCAACGGGCCGGCGGCCTGGGCGCCGGCCCGAGGCGAGCGCCGCGGAGGAGCGCGGCGAGGCGCAGCTGCCTGGCGATGGTGGTGGACTGGGGAGCGCTGGGCCTCCCCTCCAAGCTGGGGGACCTGTTGGCCAAGCGACGTTGTGGGGAAATATCCACGCAATGCAATTGGGATATCGTAAGTTACGATTCGTAGCCTGTCAGATGCGCGGCAAAGCGCCACCCGCCTCATCGCGCGATGCAGCCAATGCAATAACAAAAATCGTAATCGTAATCTTGTGAGAGCGGCCCTCCTAGTATTTTGGTTTGGTCGTCTGGTGGTTTAACTGCTGGTAAGTAGTGCTTTTGTTTGGCTCTTGGTGGTGTTAACTGATGGCAAACAGGTTTTCTATTTCTTTGGTTGTTTTGGTGGTGTGAACGACTGGTAAATGGTGTTTTCGTTTGGCTATTGGTGGTTAACTGCTGCTAAGTACAGAGACGCGCTGAAGTGTGCATGCCATGCACACTTGCACATGCACTTGCACTGCATGGTGGCGGACGCAAGCGAACGCATGCATGTGCAAGCAAACCACAGTCGAAAGTGCTGCATCCGCCCGAAATTAAGTACCGCCCTCTTGTTTGCGAGGCCGCATTTGTCCCAAGAACTTACTGTGATTCTGGGAGTTTGAGTCGGGGCATCGGTCATGAGTCTACTGAATTTGCTCAGTGCTTTGGAGCGAATGGGAAGTGCAGAGCACACAGCAGTACTTTGAGCCCACTCGACTCGGGCTGTGGAATCGAAAATTTCCAAGGTTTTGCCGTACATCCAAAAATGCCCTCCCCAGACGGGTCTCCTTTTGCGGTTTCCATTGTGCGGAGTGGGGATTGGGGTAGAGCTGCAAAAGTCACCAAAAATCAACGTGGCGGCAGTCATCACGAAGCAACGGGGCTGCTGCGAAAGTGGAGGCAGCGCCATGCGATAGAGGCGATGGCGGCAGCTTGTTAGGCGGACCGCCGATTCCTTTCTACAGAGCGGCGCTCACAGACGCACAGATAATGGATTGAACGGCGGCATTCAATGCACGGGGGCTTCTGGGTTTTCGGGACCTGTTCTTTCTGGATACGACGTAATATTTGGCATTTGAATTTTTTGTCCTGTTGTACATTGGCCTATTGAAATAATACATTTAATTGCACACAGGCAAATTGGGCAGTGTATTTTCAGCGGGTGTGTTCTCGGCTAATTACAGTTGCCAGAAGGAAAAGTGGCAAACAGAGTCCTTGCACCCTGAAGGCAATAGCGCACATAGGAGTGGTCAGGAGCGGTCGTCCTGAAACCATTTGTCCTCGTTGTGCATAACACGCAATTCCCACTTTGTGAGAAGAGAGCCAGAAATGTGTGTTTCAGTAAGAACCCTGGAGGTGTGGCATACCGATATGTCAAAAGCATGTCAAGAATACTATACTACGGTGTGGTGGTTCAAATACCGTGCCATAACTGGGCGTGTGCCTTGTGGGAGATAATATCGATATGCCGTGGTCATAATAAGGAACCCAACATATCAAATTATGTAGTGAATGTTCATTTGTCGCATTTCAATAGGTGATATGCATAGAGATTGATATTAGGGAAAATGGAAAAAGGGAGTCCTCCGTGAGGTATCTTGATAAAAGTGGGTCCTCTGTGACAACAGAGAGTCCTCTCCGGGAATGCAAATGATAAAAGTGAGGGCTCTACGTGCCCCATGTGGATTAGACGCGTTGGCAGACCAGCACCACACCGGGGCGGGTCTGCCACCTAGTCCTATTAGGGGCCACCCCGCAGAGGCCCCCCTTTTGTCATTTGCACCCCGTAGAAGACCCGCTTTTGTCACTACCGCTCTTGGGTGGTATTGCGAGGTATGTTCGTCTGTGGGCTTTCTGAACGCTGAAGTCTACAACACAGAAGCTTTAGCATGTGCAGGACACTTCTTGTGCTTTGCTTTTGCAAGAACTCTTTGTAAAGCGAAGTCATTGGCAGCACAATAAAGAAATGACCAAGCTTCCATTTTCGGACTTGTCAGGCCCTGCCATGTCAGATGTTGCCAGAAAAAATACGCTGCATACGACAGTCACCAACGAACTTGCACGTCGAACACAGCCCATCAATCACGAATCGCGATCGTTCTCAAAACATTCTACAATCTCTTGACCCATTTAATGAGCTTCGTTGGGTCTCAATCATCAAAATAACATGCGGCCAGTTTGCTTCATGCACATACTTTAAAAATGCAAGTCGATTTTCTTTCTTGAGCACATGCTCGTAAAACCATGCAACACTCATCCCTTTGTGTCATGCAGGTGAGCATGCATGTTTTTGGAATGCTTAGGATGCCTAAGCGTCCAGAGAAGCTAACGATTTGGAATAATGAATTCAACACAATCAGGTCATTGATCGCAATTATTCATGTGCTTCATGGAGACACGTTGCATTTAAATGATGCCCCAAGGGCAGGTGTTCGTCTAAATGACATCTCGAAGACCCCACAAACCCCCACAAGACACCCAAAGGGAAATTCACAAAAGGGCTCCTCTGCGGGGTCGCCCCTAGTAGGACCGCGTTGCAGACCGGCACCTGCATGGCGCTGGTCTGCCAACGCGTTATGTTGCAGGGGGGCGCTCAGATTACCCCTTTTTGTCATTTGCACCCTGGCATTGGACCCCCTTTTGTCAATATGTCTCACAGAGGACCATTTTTTGTCATTTTACCATGTTTCTAAGACAATTAGATCAGATATTGGGACCATCTGGGAGAAGGATTGACGTTGATGCAATGATGCGTGTACAGTACCGTTGATAAAGCGCCGAATACTGCCGCAGCAAGTTGGGCGTTTCAGCGTTGACGCAACTCTGGCACACGCACCAATGCTTTTAAATGTTGACATAAGGAAATCTGGTGAAGTGCTGATGGACATTGCTTCAATAACAATGCGGTCACAATACTGCATAATACTGTCTACCAGTTTTCAAGATTGCGATTCGATGCGGCTGGCATGTTTGTTTGAAAATTGTTTCTGATCCATGTATCTGCCACCCGCAGCATAAAGTTGAATACATGCTACTTGCAATCTTGAAAAAACCCTTCTCGAATGTCCTGAGGCCGTCTTTTCATCCATTGCTTATTTTCTCTTGCTTTTTTAGCCTGCAGCGCTGGCCAAGCATGTGTCTATCAAACATTTAAGCATCTTTGACGCCAATTTATGCCGTTCAAGGAAAACGGGCTTGCATATGACAACTATTGACACCGCTTCAATGCTAAACACACACCAGCTTTATATGCCTGATTTATGCCTAAAGTTCTAGCAAAATGATTGCCTCGATGGCAGCAAGCTTTTCCTCCACCAATTTCCCATGGATATGAGTTCTACAGATCATTTATAATTCCCCCGGCCTCGCCACGCCTCACCCCTCAAAACCTGCTCTTGCTAATACCAATACATCTTCTTGATGCTTGATTGCGCATTTCACGCTCGAGATGGTCTTGCAAGCGCGCAAACGGCTTCGTGCGATCCTCGGCCTGCTTTGCTGCTACTCTGGTATCCCTTATGGATCCTGCAAGGGCGGCGAGCATGACTGAAAGTAAGTTTGAGCTGCATTTTCTCCAGACATCAAAGTAGTCATGCAATTCACCAAGCAGGTCAAAGCAAATTTTTGTGGGTTTGTTTCATAAACGACAAAATCCTCCACATTTGAAAGTATTGCGCTGTGTTGGAAAACAATTGTGCAAAGGGAAACTTCTCGTAGCAGCACAGGGGACTGCTCTTGAAGACAGAACCCCAACGATTTGCCTCTTGCTCATCCACCAAGCGCAGCAAGATGCCTCAAGTCCGTCCTAGCAGATGATGACATGAAAGCAGATGTGAAGGAAACGCTGCCATGAGCTGAACTTCGAAAGCGCAAAGCCAAAATCGTAGTCATCTCTTCGTGCATGGGAAACTTGGTGCCACTGCTCCCAACGGGGACTCGGGCCCACCCAGGACCGCCGCAGGGGTAATCCTTGTGGGTCCTTACACACCTAGGAGGCGCTGACATCCCGGGAGGCTGCGCGGATGACCTACATCCGTTGTTCCTCGAGGATGACCAATACCCGTTGGGGGGCGCCCAACCCTCCGGCTCCGCCTCGGCCGCATCCCAGTGGTCCTTGCAGCGCAGGAGCAGCACCCCGGTGACGGCCGCGCGCAAAGGCAGTGCCAACACCAGCGCCAGCCTGCAGCCCCCCGCCACCTCCGAGGCGCTCCAGACGTTGGTCGCCAGGTCGGGCAGGCCGCAGGCCAGGCGCGCCAACAGGATGGGGCTCCACTGCGGCGGGGCGATCAGGCCCAGACCTGGGAACAGTGCCGACTGATTTGGGGTGCTTCCATTTCACCCATTTGCTTTAATAGAACCAGGATCTCCTTAATGTTTTCAGGTGTCAAACGCGCAAAATGCATAAATACAGCCCCGTGTACATAATGGCATTACAAGCAGACGTACGGAGTCCGGGGAGTGGCGGGAAGACGCGCTGGAGTGGTCAGAAAACGAACTAGTGTTCGACGACAGCGTTTCCCTTGCCGAGAACGAAGTGGATGCTATGTTCCGCATGCTCCAGGGGGCAGACTGGCCATTGTACGCGACTTTCACTCTGTAACCAGGTGTACGTAAAAACGCAAACAAATAGCAAAATATGCATAGCAAAATAGCAAAATTATTTCAGATGACCCAAACAACCCATTTTCTGTATTTGCGTCTCTATGCGCGAAAGCGTAAACGCGAAAACCTAAACGTGACGTAAACGTAAATAACAAGAATGAATAGAACACTGCCACCTGCAACGCCGAGACGCGGCCTATCAAATGGACATCGGTATCACAGCCATGGCGGGCACTAAGTCTCGAGATTTGGAGAGCTCGGAAAGGGTGGGTGGGTGGAAGGAGAGCGTGGAAGTGGACAGGTGGCAGGTGGCTGACATATTGCTGTGGGTGTTAGGATGTGCCCTGTGCGTGGAGCGATAGGACAAATGCCCAGTCGCTCACAAGGCAATGAAAGGCTAAGATCACAACAATGTACGCCATCAAGGTGTACATGACTCTCATGATACATGCAACCAAAGAGTTGCCAAAATGTCGATCAGTAGAGCAAGGTTGGAAATTGGCACGCCATGATGCAAAAATGGATTGTTTGCTGGTGCACACAGTGCCCCACCGCCAAGTTATTGATAGCCATGGCTGCGTGAGGCGGGAAATTGATCTTGTGGCCAGAAACTTACAATAGTCCACAAGGCATTGTGGGCACATCGACAGATGTGCATTGGCAACCAGCTTCCAGCCATCCACCAAAAATGTCTCTCTCAGATTCCTCACGGCTCCGGCCCATGGGGATTCCACCACCATGCCCTCCAGCAGCAACCTGTGCTTGTGAATAATGCAGTGAAATACATATTATTTATCTGATAATATCGATGAGTGCGCATCGAGTTTCGAAGACGTAGCGAGCTCTAGGGATATGTAACATCGCTGTTCCAAAGATGGTGTGGATTATTGCAACCGACACACAATTACTGAACGTGGGAAATGCAGGCCCAAACAATATCCGCACAGCGTCCAATTGATATGCGCTGTGTCTCTGTCGCTGGGTATGCGTTCTTCACCACATCAGTGCTTAGCGCTGATGAGGGAATTGTGCCATCACAGTCCATCAGCCATTTTGAGATCGCCGTGCCAGATATTTACGAGGAGACAGAAATGGATGAATGAGATTGTATGACAGAAAACGATTGTATTTGCCATCACCCCTGCTAGGCGCACTGACTATTCTATCTTGTGAATACCGAAGAGCACAAGGCACTAGGAAAAAGGACAAAATGACACTTTTTGCAAACACATATGTATGTAATTCATGAGTGTTATGCACGCTAAAAACACAAAAATAACCCAAACCTTAAACTTTGTACACGTTTCAACTCTTGTTATTTGGCCCTTTTTCCTTATGAGGAATATACGTCCATTCTGTGGTCATATTGATGTTCCTAATGGCGTGTAGCAGCTATATCAGGTGTGATAATTACATTTCTGCAATTCAGGAGAACTGTAAGGCCACCGTTGCGTTTATTGTCTTTCGTCCTCCCTTCAAACTCAGAAGCTAAGATGCACGATGTCCTTCTTCGGAGAAAAGATGCTCTGATTTTGACACTCGTGAGCCAGCACAGAGCGATGCAGGGCTTCGACGATTGTCCCCCTTGAAATGCGGCCTCCAAGCTCCCTGCCGCCGCAGTTCCCACCCCCTAGCGGTCAACAACCGGGGCCGAAAGGCACACCTCCTTCCATAAAACCGCAAAGGGATCACCATCCAGGACCGCTTCATCAGCCAAACTAACCTAAGCCACACGCAGCCCAGGGCACGGCCAACAATCCCTCCCCACAACCACTTTAAAATTCTCAACCAGCGAGACCCAACATTCAAATAAAAAATGAGCAAAAACACAATTGCGTCAAACCAGCAAACCCTCCCCGAATCTCCCTGCCTCTCTTGCTAGGTCCCACATGGCCCACACATCCTGGCACCGGGACGCTGAAATGTGATGTAATGTTTTGGAATAAAAAAGGGCCCACATATCTTGTGACAGGAAGGGCGAGGCCCCTAGACACAGGGTTGTGATGTTATATTTTGGAAGGCTCCGGTCTTGCAATGTTTTGGAACTAAAAAAAGAAAAGTGTCCCAAAAGCCGCTTCTTGGAAATCTTCACCCACCGCGACCACAGGATGCCGAGGGCGTGCCCCAGGCCGCGCGACAGCAGGAGCGCCGCGCACACGGCCGGTCCCGCCGCCAGGGCCCCCGCGGCCGCCTCCAGGTCGCCCGCCAGCGGCGAGGACGCCGCCACGGCGCCGGCGTGCATCACCGCGAAGGCCAGCACCACGGTCGGGTCTCTGGGATGGCCGGCCAGCCATCCGCCGATCCAGATGCGCCACGCAGCCCGGTGCGAGACGCTCCACAGGTAGGGGGCGGAGGAGAGGAGCAGCGTGGCGGCGAGCGCCGCGGCGCGGAGGGCAGGCGGGATGCAACGCATCTGCGCTCGCGGTTTTGGCGCGGGTGTGTGTGAAAAGGGGAGGGTGTAGAAGGGGGCGGGGGAGGGCCCAGTTGTGTCGTCCCGCTGTTCGGTACAGAAACGCCAATCTGGCGTTGGCATGGGTCGTGAATACACCAGGTTTGCCCAGCACGTGCGAGAACGTAGCTCATATGTGTGACGTCACAATATAATTGCATTGGCTCAAGCGTTTGACTGCAGGGTTAGGCTTATCCGGTCCCTGATATGATATGTGGAGCAGAATCACTGCAGTCTGCCAGAACAGAACGGACGCAGACTTCCCTCCCTGTCAACGTTGCGAACAGACAACTTCTTGCCTAAGAGGCCCGGCTATTTGATGAACACTCGTTTGCCCAAATGCATTTTGGTGTCCAGACGAGTTGCCCACCAACCCACCCCACCCTACCCCAAACCCACCCAACCCCGCCCACTCCAGGACGTGTCACGGTGCAATGCCATTAGTGCCACAGACAGGCGTTTAATGAACGTGACGAGGACAGCGGTGTTCACTTGTGGCGTGGTGGACAGTGAATTTTTTGGTAGCAACCGGGACCACATCAACGCTTCAGTGGGGACTGGGCGCCATCGGAGCAGCAACATCGAGTTTGGTACTTTTCCCTGACACAGCCAATACCAATTGTTGTCGATGAGTTTTACCAGATGCCCATGGCGGCAGCATATTCGGTACTGGGAATTGTAGCATGGGGAGGAGTGGAAGTGCCTGCCAAAAGTAAAGCCGCAGACAGCTGCAGCAGCGCAGCAACAGCTGGCCTTGAGCGCATTGCTGCTGCGATTTGCAAGCTGGTCACCGCCAATATGCGCAGCGTTGACCCTACAATATCCATTGCTCGCTCACTCGCACCCTTGAAATTCCCAACATCCCGCATCGGCTATGTTTCCCGCCTATTCATGAATTGTGCTCTGCAAGGCCATTTTATGCGCATGCAGCAAAGCCACATACTACTTCAGCGCTTGCAGTACTCTGATGTATTGCAGAACGTTAAACAGAGAAAATAGGTAAACTCACATGCTTGTGTTGAACGCTTGCGTCAACGAATTTGAAATTTGTCACACCTCGCAGCAAAGGACGGTTGGAGTTTCACTAAACCCGTACGGATTTGAACGGCGGTTCAAGTTTGCCCAGTGGATGCAGCCAGCGGCGAGTGGCGCAGGAAGGCTGCCTGGCAAACTTCACAAGACGCTTCGAACCCCGCAGCAACATCGGCCACTGCTGCCAGAATAGCTATTATTATGGCTGGATGATTTTGTCGATTACGTTGCACCATCCTCGTTCAAAAAGGAATGGGGGAGCTCTGGAGCCCAGCACCCAATAAGCACTGCCACTGTATGAGAATCGATTGAGAGGCTTCTTTGATAGGCGCGAATCAGCCTGTTACATCGTTTCTTCCCCATTCCCACATGGCACCGAGGGGCGATGGGGTATGCAGAAACGCCCTTTCCCGTGGATGCACCACCAGTTCAGCACGCTAACACAACAGGCAGGAGCATGTCAGCACCCTGTCCAGAGTTGTCAGGCGCAGAACTGAACAACCAATTCAACAGTGGCGCCGCTCTCTTCCACGCACAAGCCGGCGGCGGCAGCACACCTATACGACAGCACAGCGCCATCAATTCGCGTGGGCTTCCTAACACTAAGCGCGTGGCTATTGTCTGCGGCCCCAGGGGCTTGCCAGCCCAGTCACATCAAAACCTGGCGCCTCCACCGCGCCAGTCCACTCCGCCACATTCCGCGTGCCACACAAATCGCCGGCGGCCCAAAATGCAGGCCGGCACGCTGCACCGGCCGCAAACAGCCAATGTATCGGTCACACCCCTCCAATGTCAAATGTACTCAATTGCGTCCCTTGTCCCGGGGAACTAGCGCGTCCCTGGACCTTTATTGCGTAGTTTACAAGCGTCCCAAGGAGCCGCGACCCAATGGAGGTGCCCCACACCTCCATTCCTAATAGGGGACCCCCCAAGCAGGATCTCCCGATAGGCAATTTTTCTTTCTTTCCAGCTTTCGGTTAACAACTCCACCCTTGGTAATTCCCTGAAAGCAGCACCTTGGGTTGGGTTAAGTAATCATTCGAATACGCTCCCCCAGCGAACTAAGCCCCCTCTTGTCCATGCCACGCTGCTCTGCGCGTTTAACCTAACTACCACATGGACAGCAATTTCAAAACTAGGACAGTTGGTCACGCATGGCGTCTTTGGAACACTCCATTTCCCCCGCCCTCCGCTTTACTCCCGCCCTCTTCTTGGAACTGTTTGACTTCCCCTGCAGCCACAGTGACCTTGCCCAAGTCAATGGTATGTACACAGTACACAATAAGCCAGCAACAATATGAATAAAGCACAGCAAATTCGCCCACTTGAGCAAGATGTACACTGTACACCTCCAAATAGTGACAATATGCTTCTAGAAGGTCTGTAAATGATAAATGTAGCCTGCACAATGAGCCCGCTGAATGGCCATTCAAGATCACCTGCTGCCAAAGCCAACTTCTATAATCAAACTAACTTAGCACGAGGCTGTTTCTCAGTTGCACATAACAGCCCTGACTCCAGAAGCTCCATGAACAACAGAAAGCATGCATTTCTGTATATTAAAGCTCTTTCGGGCAGTGTGGCTCTGCCAGCATTGCGCCAGAAGGAATATGGAATCCAGCAGCTCGTTGCTGTGTGCAGATACACGCATCGGTGTTCCCTTTTGTCTCCAGCCGTTAGTGTGCACAGGGACAAAACATAACATGGACATTCAAGTGTGCGAACTGCCCCTATCAGTACCTGCAGGTGTAAATGTTTCATTGTTCTTGAGAAGCTGCAATCACTGGAATACAAATCACCCACCGAAGCTTGGAGCCTCCTGTATGTGCGAATCCAGTCGATCGTGTTCTTCATCAGATGTATGGCCGAATCGACAGACAGGATCGTGGGCACCTTGGTCTGTCCGATGCCCAGGAGGTGCTCCAGCTCCTGCCAGAGGCCCGATGCGCCCCTCCTGATAACGTCTGGGTCTATTTGGTAGAACAGCAGGAGAGCCTGGTGGAAATCAACCAGCAGGTACAGCTACAGCATGCTAGAACCCCAATCCATGTCATGAGAAAAATTCGCTTCTTCTCAGTGCGGCTATCAGGCACACTGCAATATCAAGAGCGATGGTGTCATGATCGCTTGCTTGAGCAGCAACACAACAGAAATTCGTCAAGAAACACACAAATGAGTTAGCCACCAAACGGTCTACCAATTTCCCTTCATCTGCACCACCAACAGCCACTTGCGCCACCCCTGCCTAAAGACTTCACAAGTGACTCGACCTGCTACTGCCAGCAGTGTTCTATGGCTCTTCATAATGCGGTCAATCTTTTCAGGACCCTTCCTTGCCCTGCACCAGACTGCGATGAAGCCAATGGCCCCCAACTCATTTGTTCGGATGGGGACAGCACTTCCTCCCTTAGTTGTGCAGCAAAGGCGTCAAATTGCACTACAGAAAACATGTCTGCGATGCCAACTGTGACGCCGTTTTGATACTTAGTGACGCCATCAAAGTGATTGCGATGGCAAAAAAGAACATGTGAAGGCATCAATCGGTGTCAAAGGGCATTGCAGTCAGCATCGCAACAACGCCCTCTTCTACTGGCGTTGGGAATCGAACACGGGCCCATCGACCCACCTCGCTGGCGAGCCCCGCGGCCGTCTCCGCCTTCCGCACCCGCGTCCGCCACTGGTGCCACGTCGCGAAGTTCTGCCCGCCCAACACCTCCGTCGGCAGGTCGCTCTCCAGGCCCACCAGGTTGGCCGCCACCATCTCCAAGCTGATCGGCGCCACGCAGTTCACGGGCGCCGGCTGCGCGTCCGCGCCGTACTGCAGCGCCTGCTTCAGCACGCGCCTGTAGAAGACCTGCTCTTCTGAGGGGTCCTCGCTGCGCAGGGCCTCCTGGTAGAGGGCGGCCGCCAGGCCAGGCTCGAAGGGCTGGCACAGGCCCTCGTGCGCCCAGCCCAGGGCGTCGGAGCCGAACACCAGCACAGGCACGGCGCCAGGGATGAGCTCCTGCAGGAGAAGGCGAGGCGAGGGGCTGAATGGCTGAAAACTCCCCTGTAAGAACTCTCAAGCTTCTCTTTCTGTAAACTCCCTAAACTCTCAAGTTCTACTTTGCAAACTTCCCAAACTCTCAAGGCTTACTTTGTGAACTTCCTAACTCAACTCCCTTATTTTTTTAGCTCCCCAACTCTCTTATATTGCTTTCGGGAGACCAAGCGAGGTCCTTGCACCTTGCAACGATGATGGGCGGAGGCGCGCGTCATTAGGCAGGTAAGTGGCGGGGGACTCAGTTCGCGCCTGTGTGTGCCTGAGCGGGTCTGGGGACGCGTCAATTTCCAGGGAGAAAGGCGGTTTTCACAGTACCTCAATCGGGCGTGCCAGCTCGGAGGACCGCTAGTGTTTCGTGGGCTAAGGCTGTTGTGTAAATGTGTAAGTGTGTTGGAAGCACGCCCCTCTGGTGCGCATGGGCCTGCGTGCACCTTGCGCCTACCCCACGACGACAGTGGTGGTGGTGACGGCGGGTTGGGTTTGTTTGTTTGTGTACGTTTGTTGTTTCTCCCTTATATGGATGCATCGACATTATGTCACGGCATCGATCAATGTAGCGTACGAAGCCAGCAACGGCGGGTTTGGTGTCGTTGGGTTGGGCTGGGGAGATGGGGAGGGGGCAGTTGGCTTGGCCAGGGCAGCCAGCTGGGTTGTCCGGGATATTGAGGCCCAAGGGTCAGCGAAACGCCCGGGCCTTAAGGAGGCGTCGGCACGGGTTGCGTCGCTGCTTCTGGCGGCGACTCTCCCGTACACACCTCCGGTGCATATTCTCCGGGGTACGGATGTGATCTAGCCATGGGGACCAGGCACAAGCTTCTGTGTATGGGTCTTTTTATTGCCTACAGAATCTGGGCTCAGAGCTCCCCCCCCACCCCAGAAATCCCACTCTGCTCGTTAGACGAAGTCTGCTCTGTTCAATCCGTGCAAGAATTTGCAGCACTTGCACAATGTTGTCCGATGAGCACTAACCAATCAGATGGACGCGGCGAGGACCCTCTGAAACCTAGAGGTTGTGCACGTCGAGGTTGTGTTTGTAGTTATCATCCCAATTCCATTCAACTGTATGCTTCATTTCGGGCACGTTAACCACCTGAAAGAAGGGGGAAGTGTGCAAAATGGGGTGGACATGAGAGACAATTGCTCGCCGAACACGCCCCCAACGTCCCTTTTGTGTGAGGATGACGGCACACGTACATCCGCTGTACAGCGGATCGGAGCGCACCCGCATCGAAGCTGTACTGCACAACCCATCACGTAGCCACAAACACCCCGCAACCTCGTCCCCAAGCCCCAAACCCACTTTGTACCGCCTCCCGCCCCCCGCCCCCAACCCACCTTGAACGACAGCGGGAATCCCACCCACTTGGCCACGTCGTTGCTGTACCCCTGCGCCACAGACGCCGGCAGGTCCTCACGCGCCGCCGCCACCACGGGCCACAGCAGGCCGGGGCGGTTGGGGTCCCTGGCCAGCAGCAGCTGCGCGGGCGCCGCCGCAGGGGGCGCAGGAACCCGCGGGAATGCCTCCGCGTCGACCTCCTCCCCGTGGCCGCACTCCACGCCAGGAGATCCGCCCGCATCGCGATCCCCACGATCATCATCCTCTTCCGCTTTTGCCACCGCGCGCTGCGCCTCGCGCCAGTGGTCACGCGGACCCTTGCTGCCGGGGGGGCCGCAGGCGGCGGGCTTGGGCGAGTCGCGCTCCGCACACATGATTCCGGCCAGCATCAGCAGCGCGCTGTACCTCCGCGCCGAGGGCCCGGAGAGATCAGAATCCTGCGGCGGCGGGAGAAATTCAGAGGAAATGTTGTCAGGGCCGGAGGCGACGGGGGTGCGCAAGCGAGTGTGCGCTTATTGTGAGTCGTTGGCGCCTGTTGAGAAGGGAACTGTCCATCTGCCCTAGGGCACAACTCGGAGACAGCAAACACATTGCGCATTTGGGCGACGTGCATGGCCATGCCTGGCATCGAATTAACGAAGAACGAGAGGCGAAGGGGCGGCTGTATCAAACACCAGCGGCTGGGAAGGTGGCAACCATTTCTGCGGGTGGCGCACAAGACTGCTTGACAAGGCGGCGATGCTCCAGGCATTGGTACGGCATTGTCCAGGCATTGGGTTGCCATTCGCTCTGCCATTCGCTCTTTGGTTCAGAAAGTCCACCCATGCAACCACCACTGCCAGCAGCAAGCATCCGCGTTTATTACCAACACGGGGACAGCCAGAAACTTCAAGGGAGGACCAAGAGTCGGGGGCTCCCGGCTGACAGCCATTCTGCCCGTGTATTCCGCGAATGAGCTTGGTCAAGTCCGAATGCAAGCACCGGCTTCATTGCCCTCACGATCACTTTGGGGCCAACACAAGCTTGAAGGCGCCGCCCTACCGCGGCAAGCCGCGCCACGCACTCGACAACTGCTCAGCGGCGACAGTTGCTGGGCTCAGAGCTGTCAAAAGGCCGCATGCCAATACGCTGATGGGGCGACACAGCGACGCCACTGCAGAACGCGCTTGTACCTTCCACGTCGACCAGGGCACAAAATTTGTCGCGAACATGTGGAGCCCAAACCATGGCTTCCTGGTGGGCGTACTCACCGGGGATGCGCCCCGCGTGCCGGACCCTCCCACGCACCCCTCCTCGCAGCATCCCATCTCCTCCATCCCGGCCGCCCTGTCCACAGCCCTGGGCCCCGCGGGCCCGGGCGCGCCGCGACGCCCGGACGCCGGCCACGGCCGCTCCGCGCCAAAGACGTCCACGTGCCTCCACGCCCTCTCGTAGTCGTACAAAAACTTGCGGTAGTTGCACAGCAGCTGGTTGCCCACGCTGGTGGCACGGTTGTCCTTGGTGTAGTTGGCCAGCTTGGGAAAGATGACGCCCGCGAAGTTGAGAGTGCCGATCCAGCGCTTGTGCTCGTCGTACTTCTCGTTGGCGATGAAGCCGCCGCACTCGACGACCGCGGTATAGAGGCCGAACACGTCCAGGGGCCGGTTGTTGCTGCGGCACCGCGTCGCTGTCAAGGGATTGGCGAAATTCTTTCGATGGCATAGCCAATGAGTGCCAATGCGCTGCTGCGGCAGCCCGTCGGCGGATAAATTCCAATGGACGCTGCCAATAGCCAGGACCACACGGAGCCCACTACCAAAGGTGCTGGGAATAGGCATCGAACTGGCAGCAGGTGCGCCGGCAGATGACGTAAGGCAACGGATCCAGTGTGGATTGGCCATGGCATTTGACAGTAGTCCAATGACAGCTAAATCAACGAGCTTCACTGAAGCGTTTGCCCATTGCAAGGCATTGGACTATCACCCGGCTCAAAGTGCCAGAAGGGCTGTGAGGATATCTCTGTAGGAGCATGAGATACAGGCATTGCAGCGAAACACCAGTGAACAGTGTGCATCCCCAGTCACAAAGTCAGGTACTCATAGGCACAGTGGTGGCTTCCACTATTCAGGAGACTATTCAAGAGACTGTGAATTGATCGAGTGCCAGGCTAGGATCTTTGTGGAATGACAGGGGTGGATGGGTATGAGTATTCATATGAATGACTTTCCCATGAGCAACAATGAATGTACAGCATACCTTATCACTTGCGAATCAACACATCTCAAGAGCATCAGCTGCAAGCACCATCCACTAGCTGTCCTTTTTCGACAAGAACTTCAAGCCACAGATAACTTGAGGTCAACAATGCCCAATGTGCAGTTGCAAGCATGAAAAACACAAACAGCAACAATGCTTCCGCTTTGCCTAATATCTGTTCTGGCGCCTATTACACAACATGAGTTCGTTGGCATCAGGCATCGGTTTCCTGCAGCACGACAATTCGTCACACATGGATCAGCATCTGCACAACTGCAACTGCCTGCTCACAACTGTGAACTGAGACAGAGGCACTGAGCATTGCTACCACGCCAATCGCAGTGGCAGCACCTCCCAACACACTCACCACTGTACCCTCTTGCATCGAATCTGATCTGCCTTCACCCCTTCACCCAGCTCTCTCAAAAAGGAGATGAGATCGGCTTCGAACTCGCTGCTGGTGCAGACGTCCAGTGGTGGCCGTGGACTGTTCGACACATACCTCCGCAGCTGCTCCTCCTCAAGAAAACTGTCCACTTCTGCATCGGACATCTCCTGCGGGGCATCGCAGGAAGCAAATCTGCACACACGCCACACGCAGGCACAAAGTGAGTCCACTGGCAGACGGCCAGTCTCACACTGGCACAAAGGGCCTGGTCTGCCACCTGTGCCCTGGGGTTCTGTCCAACAAGACATGCTCTGGCCGTTTGCCTTGGCACTGATGTGTGGCAACAGACAAAACGCCCCATCCATCCAGTGTCAGTTCCTTGTTGGTGTAAGCACGAGGTTCACAGAGACAGGGGACGCCCGCCAAAGCCATAACTCGTTCAATGGCCAACAGGACCCAACACAGTTCCCCTACCAGCACGGGGAAAGCAAACAGGACCCCACAGCATTCCCATACGTCCGGAGCTCTTCCTGCCTCAGGGGTCGCCCGAGTTGAGCCGCAAGACGCAGCCCCAATCCGTGAATCCCACAACTTTCACAACGCACTCGGCGCCAGCCATGCCCAATCGCCCAATCAACCGCCGCGACATTCCCCCGGCCGCCGCTCACCTCTTGTCCGCGTTCATGCAGCACTGCCAGGGCCCGTCGGGAACGGTCTCCATCTTGATCCTCCTCCACCTGTCGCATTTCTCGCACAGAATCCATGTCTCGTCGCCGTTGGCGCTCGGCGCCGGCGTGGCCCCCCGGTCTTCCCCCTCGCCCTTCACACCCCCCTCCGCCTTCACACCGTTATTCCTCCCCCTCCACTCCCTCCCCCCCTCATCATATCCACCCCCTGCCCCACCAATTTCATTCACTTTTCCCCGATTCACGCACGGCCAGTTCTGCCCCTCCACAAGCCGGCAGCCGTTTGGCCACGCCCGCCCGCCGTCCGCCATACCCCCGCCGCTCTGATTGGAACCGTTGGCATGCGCGTCCGCAGAATGCGACCCGTTGGAATCTGGCCCCCGCCCGGGCGTCCCACCCCGGGCGGGCCGATCGCCGCCGGCCGCCCTGGCCGCCTCGCCCCGTGGCGCCGCCCTGGCTCCTCTCCCCCTACCCGATTCGATGATTCGCCCGCGCTCCGCGCCGAAGTCCGATTTCAGGTCGCGGAGGTGTGGTCGATCGGCGCCATCGGGCTCCTCCCGCAGGTCGCACAGTTCGCGCAGCTCGAACAGGCTCGTGCCCTCGTACTTGACCGACGTCCAGCCGTCGTCCGCCTTGCGCGCCGGGTTCTGCTTGCGCTTAATGTACAGCGAGAAGGAGGACGGCGTGCTGAACTCCAGGCCCTCGAAATGGATCTGCCCGTTGGCCCCGAGGTCTGCGCGCCACACGCGCGCGCGTCAGCCCGCCTCGTCCCGCCACCCCTCCCTCCGCCCCGATTGGCCCCGAGCGCCGCGCCGCCCCACCCCCGGTCGAAATCCCAAACATCGCGATTCCTGCAGGACCGAAATCCTCGCCCCGGGGCATCCGCACCCCGCCCGGGGGCGAATCCCTCCCTCGTCAGCGGCACCGATCGCGGCGCTGCACCCCAGACCACCCATGCAGGCCATCCCGCCGCGGTCCGCCGCCCGAGATCGCCCGGGGGGTCAATCACACCCGCCCGGCCGAAAATTTTGCGCGAAAAACTCCCCCTCCGCGCAGTCTCCCCCACCGGCGGCAATCGCGCCGATCAGCCCCACCGGCGGCATCCCGCCGCGGTGTGGATCAGGCTTCCGTCCCAGGATCGCCCACGGGCACCGGCAATCGATCCCTTGCCATCCGGGCCCGTCGGACGGGGCGGATTCGGTCGCCGCGGAGCGGCCCCCACCTGCGTAGTGCTCCTCCCCTCCCACCGAGCAGCTGAGCTTCCTGGGCCCCGGCTGCAGGATGCCCGCCGCCAGATACAGCTGCAGCGTGTGCACGACGCCCATCCGGCCGCGCCAGCTTCCCACCGCCTCGCGCGCACCCACCCACACCCACCGAGCCCCCCCCGCTCCGATTCGCCCCCCGGAAGGCTCGGGCGGATCAACCCGATCCGATCCGGCGGGATGCGATCGGCGGGGGCGGCAGGCGAGAGCGGGATGGGCGGGCGGGGTGGGGTGGGGGGGCGGGGCGGCGGTCCCTGTGCCTCGCTGCTGGGCCACCCGGTTCGAAGGAGCCCAGGGGGGGGTCGGGGGGGCCGGTTGGGTTCTGGGGAATGTGCCCTCGCATGGCCCGCCAGGGCAGTGGATGAGGATTTAATCCGGGGATGAATGTCCTGCGAAAACGCACGCGGGATGGGGTGCCCCTGACGCGGCTGCTGACGTGTGGACGGCGCCGGGCTGTCACGTCAGGCGGGTTGTGGGGTGTTGATCGGCACGGGCCCCGGTTGGGGTCCATCCGGCGGGTGGCCAGCGACCCCGTTCGCAGCGGCCCTCGCGTCCCGCAGCTGAAGGGAAAGTCCGGCTGATTGGGTGCCTTCTTGGGCGTGTTGGGAGGACTCCCCACCTCCTTCCGAGCAAGTGTGGTTGGCATAGATGGGTGGACCCCGGCGCATCTGGCTAGGCGCTATCGGCTATTGGGTGCCGTCCATTACCCTACCTTGATAGAAGAACAAATTGCCGTGCAGACTGCTGTGTGCACCATAGAGGGCATCAAGCTTGGTTACATTCTTATGCGTAAAAACATAAAAATTGTTTTTACGCATAAAAACGAATATACGATCGACTTTTACGGCGTAAAAACCAAGCTTGCAGGGCATGTGCATGTGAGACGGGCAGCAACTTTTTTCTATACTGCAGCCATGCCACTTTCGCTGGGATTATTCCCCTTTGCATCGCCTCACTGATACGAAAAGACTATGGGTGTGGGGTTCCTGCCCTCTTTGAGCTGCGGACCCGCCTCGCTGGGCACCTGGGTCCTTACGGGGACCTAGGCGGGACCACCCCTCCTACTCCCATATCCTTATAAGTATAATGGTTACTGTAGGACAAGGATTATAATACGATCTTGGGCAGGGCGTCCCCCACACCAAGGGCCAGTAGTAGGGCGTCCCCCACATCAGGCCAGTGCGCGTAACATTCGTCCCCCTCAGGGAGGTGGGGCGTCCTCGTCCCAATATGTGGATATGGGAGCAGAAATTTTATGTGTATGTGAATAGAACTGGCTGTGCGATTTGCCACATGCCCAGTTGTGAAACACTACACAGTTAAGGATGAAGAGAAAGAGTGGTTGTTTTTACATGACCTCCCGGTCTGCACAACCCTCATTAAAACTCTTCCTTAGCCACATGGCTGGAATGTTCGACCTCCCGGCCTATGGTCTACGACCCCGAGAATGGGAATGTTACGCGCACCAGCCTGATGTGGGAGACGTCCTACTAAAGGCCCTTGGTGTGGGGGACGCCCTGCCCAAGGCACGTACTATTCCTCACCCAATGTAACCTTTATCCATATTAGGATACGGGAGTAGGAGGGGTGGTCCCGCCTAGGTGCCACAACGGAACCCGGAGGCTGGCGGAGTCATGAAAGCTCAAGAGAACATCTATGCGTATCATTTGGTTGAACGAGGTGGCGGCCGCAGGGCGGGGCTGAGCCCTTCCCCGGCCTCCTCCATGGAGGCTGAGGAATCGGAGGAACAAGCCCGGGATGGGCAGGGGGAAGGACAAGCCCGGGATGGGCAGGCGATCGATACAGCCCGGGATGGGCAAGGAACTGAACAAGCCCGGGATGGGCCAGGAGGTATAACAGTCCGGGAGGACATGGCTGGACCCTCCACAGCCACATCGGTACCCGCAGGGGAAGATGAGCCGATGGAAGAAGTGGACACCCCGCCAGCGGCGGAGAAGACACAGGAGCAAGATCAGGGCACTGAGGCGGCGGCGACGTTGCTGAAGATCCCTGGTATCAAAGAGCTCCTGCAGAAGATGGCGGATACCGCGGCCGAGAAGGCGAGAGCGAAGCGGGATGAAGAGACCGCCGAGAGGATCGCCTCGCTGGAGATCGCCGTCAACATGGCCAAGAAAGAAGCTCGAGAGAAAGAGCTGGCCATGAAGAAGGCGAAGCAGCAGAGCCGCGAGGCCCAAGAAGCCAAAACCTCCGCCGAAGACCAAGTCAAGGCGTTGAGTGACCGCCTCCTGAAGCAAAAGCAGCGGGCCCAGGAGGCAGAAGAGAGAAGCGCCCAACAGGTGGTGCCAGTTGTGAGGGCCCCCAGTCCGTCGGAGCTGCCCATGCCAACCATTCCAGAGGAAGACTGGAAGGTTGCTGGCAAGCAGCGCTCCAAGCGGAAGAGTCCATCGCCAGGTGAGCGGCCGATGGAAAGTGAGAAATCTCCATATCAAGGCGGGGAGGCCAAAGCCTTAGGGCGAGTTGAGAGAATGCAAGGCCGGAAGGTCAAGATCCCGGAGCTACGGCTCAAATCCCAGGTGTATGTGAGAACACCTAGTGGATCGGACGGGACTGGAGATGAGTCGCTCACAGAAAGCGCTCAAGCTGTTTGCAGAAAAAGTCCGCCAAGGCCGGGAGGCCATAATTGGAGCCCTCGGAGGCCTGCGCTACCAGAATGGGGGCCGGGTGAAAGCTCAAGGGTGCTGGAGTTCGTTCCAGACACTCGAGATCCATATAGCCGGCAACCACCGTGCTGTGCAATGTGGACAAAGTTCCACAGCGATCTCGTCGATGAGCTTGACGAGGGATGGCGGATGGCCGCCGACCAGTTTGGAGAAAGGTTAACCACCGCCAGACTGGTTAGAATACAAAGGTGGTATAGTCCTGGAATGGCAGATCAAATTGCCAAAGAGGACCCAAATTGGCCAGACAAGATGGCCTTTGCGCTCAGGCATATTCCAGAACCATGGGACTTGAGCGATGGGAGTCCAGAGAGACCAGACCCTAATGATCCCCACGAGCGGTGGGAGGAGATCTTGGAATTGTCGTTCTCGTCATGTGCTTCTCCTTTGCCGGGTGATATGTCAACCCGTGCACAAGTGCATAGAATGGAAAAGGAGAGACGACGCATTCGGAACCGAGATCGGTTCGCTCGTGCCAAGAAAATAGACGAGCAAAAGGCCAGAAAGGCCAAATAGTGGAGAGAGTTGAAAACGCTGCGACGTGAGCGGGATCGTCAATTGAATCCTGAAAAGTATGAGCGTAAGCGAGCTCACAAACGCCAGCGCAAGGCTGAGATCAAGCGGTTTTTCTCCGCAGGAGGCAGCCAAAAGGCGCAACGCCTAGAAGTTAAGCCGCCGGCCGATGAGCTGGATCCGGCTGAGCAGGCCAAGGCCTTCGCCCGCATTGCTCTGAAGGAGGGGACCTCCAAACGCTGGGCCGATCAGCAGGACAGTAGCGGCAGTGACAGTGGTGTAAACCACCCTGCCCGCTTTGTCCCCACCCAACCGGAACAGGCATCGCCATCGGTTGTGGTGACCAGCGGTCCCAAGGCGGAGGAATGCGCCCGAGGAAAGGGAGACCGACCCTAGAAACCAAAGGAAATCAAAAGGCCCGCAAAGAGCGGTTCGAGTATCATCATTGAGCTGTCTTCTGCTGACATTATGGAATCGCGTGAAGTTGGTGATTCTGCTGGTAACGATGAGATTGTGTATCTCGGTTCAGCAGGCGAGCCTGCCAGTCCAATTCCCCGGGAAAGACGGGAGACCTATGAGATCCTGCAGAGGCAGGAAGCTGCTTTGCAGAAAGCGAAAGCGGATGTAGAAAAAGCTGCACAGCTGCGCTCCATCATGGGAGACGAGGAGTATGCAGCATTTCTGCAGCTTCAAGAAGCAAAGCAGATTTCTCATGGACAGCAGGAAATTGCCTACAAACCGGCGAGACCGGGGCCTGGATACCAGGAACGCCGCGCCCAGCAAAAGGCGGCCGATCAACGTGGACGTGCCAAGGTGCCGCCCGAGGCTGCAAAGCCTACCCCTGTGCTGCGTGTTCCTGCCATACAGGACACGAGGGGTTTTTGGGACATGCTGGGTGCGTTTCATGACCCTCATGGAGGGGTATACTTTAAGGGGTATTATCATCCCCGTGGAGGCCATGCCCCGTACAGGGCCCAAGTCCCAAGGGACGCCCTCCAACGTATACCCGGGAAGCTGCGTGGCCTCTTTGATGCGCAGCAGACGGCACTGGGGATATATGTGCCAGAGGGTCAGGAAGCAGCCATGGAATAGCAGGCCATCCAGAGAACTGGCCGAAAAGTCCCTGAAGAGGGATCAGTGCAAATGCCCCCGGGACCATCGATGCAGGCAGGTCCCTCCACACCGGCTCGTCCAGTGGCTCAGCCAGAAATGGCGCCGAGACAGCCGGTGCGGCCTTATACAATGGGGCAGGCTGGACAGCGGACATCACAGCCTCCTGTGCAAACGACGCAGCAAAAGATTCAAAGGCTGCAGGAGATGTCTCCATTTGCGCCGGAGTCAGCTGTGTATCCGCCAGTTCGGTATTATCAGCCAGGGATGGCGGCACAGCCCGGGAGGGCATACCAACCGGAAGGGTACCACAGGCGGAGATCGCCCCAAGACAAGAGGAGTACTCAGCACCCGCTTACAGTGGATCATCCCATCCATCCGGATCGGGAGGTTACGAGAGGGTGTACGAGTACCCGCCCGGTCATTTCCAGACCCAGGAACCTCCACATGAGGAATTTCTGTTTGGGCTGGAGGTTGATCAGGCTGTTGAGCCACATCGGGCGGAAATGGGGCCTCCACTACCTCCGGAGGGGTACAATCCCCAAGGGCCGGGTTATACCGGTCAAGCCTATTTGGCAGCGGCGCAGGAGATTCCATATGCGCCAGTTTATTACGAACCTGGAAGGGAAGCTCAGGTGAGCATGAACATGCCTAAGATGAACAGTCAGGGCATGAAACCCCAAAAATGGAATGAAGATAAACAGGCCTTAACCAAGTGGTTACAAGAAATCATCATGTATT